TCAGGTATATCCAACAACAAAGGGCATTAGGACGGCTGGGCGCCTGCTTAGCGAGCAATACCCACTGTTTCAAACTCTCTCCCTCAGCAGTATCAGTCTTTGTTCTGAGGTGTAGGGGAGACCCCAGCAACTTGAAGATGGAGATGAGAGGCAAATTGAGGAAGCGCTAATAGAAGACTAAGCTCGAGCGTGCTTAGTCACGATCCGCTAAGGGAGAAGACAAGGGACCAGGGGTGCTGCTGCATTTGCTGAGGCTTCAATCCTCTCACCGTAAACACGAATTCCTTCTTTCCCCAGGTAGAAGAAGTACTTGTTTGTTTCTTGCAGGGTTCAGCAGCATCTCTTAACCATTTGATTTCACTAATGTTTTTCTTTTCATTGTCTATTTATCCTGACGACAGCATCAAAACTCCACACGATCCCCGATCCCATAAACTAGAGTATATATATATATCTATATTATATATCTCTTTTACGCTCGTGAGTGCAGCAGCTGAACTGCAGCAAAAGCTGCATTGTTATTTTTATTCCTCCTTCGGCGCCGTCTATCCACCACACAAACAAAGGCAAAAAAACAGAGACAGAAGTAATCTTTTAAAAGCGCAACTAGAGAAACGAGAAAGAAAAGTAAAAGAGCTCTGACTGGTGCCCTCTTCACCAATACCCTCAATAAGCTATTATTGAAGTAGTAGTGATTGAGCGCTTGCTTGAATGCCTTACTCGCGCTCTTCTAAACAAAAGAAAAACCGTTTTATTAAGAACTATCCTTAACCCGTATTGACGCATTTGTGCAAATTCTTGTTGAAGGATTTACTTCACCAGTCACTCGTTTTAGAGTTTTGCATCGCGCTGTCTCCTTATTGTTGTTCTTTTTCTCTCGGGGTGCCTGCGCATGCATATCATTCAGTAATAGCACTTCTCCTTATTTTATCCTCTTTATATTGATACCTAAATTAGTATGTTAATGCTTTAATATATAATTTTAATTGAAACACAGAGAGAAGAAGAAGGCTTTGGCTGTCCTTGTCGCTATTTGAACTGTACTCGTCTGGTAGTAATTCGCTTATTCTTCTACAAACACAATTAAATAATATAAACAAAACATTAATGTATAAAATTATAATTAAGCTAATAGAATCCTTTCACTCGCTGCGGGGGCCTTCCGTGCAGCAGCAGCAGCAGCAGCACCAAGGCGCAGTGTATGTACAGCGTGCTATATATCTGCTTATCTCAAACATTTTAGGGAATAAACATGTAAATAAAATAAAAAAGAATTTTAAAATATATATATTGCATGCAGAAATGTATATACACCTGGGCTTATCCACTCGCTACTTGAGGCACTGAGCCGGTGGTCTACAGCTGCTGCTGCTGCTGCTGCTGCTGCAGACAGCAGCAGCAGCTGCAGCAGCAGCTACTGCAGCAGCAGGGGGGGCCCTCTGTTCTGTTTTATTGTTTGCTTACTAGGAATGCTTTTACTCTGTTTAATTGAGAAGTATTTATTGTTTTAAATACATATTATTTTCTATCTTCTTAAAAATCTGTTTGCTGCTGCACAAACTGCTGCTGGCGCCCGAAGGACACAGCGTAGCAGCTTGAGGACCTGTCTCTTTCTGTTGATAGTTGCTGTCTCCTTCTACTGTCTCCTTCTACTGTCTCCTTCTACTGTCTCCTTCTACTGTCTTCTGCTGTCTCTTCACGAAGACCGTCTCCATAGACCCTCCACCTCGAGGCCCCAGCCATTTCAGGCCCAAACACTAAACCCTAAACCCTAGACCCTAGACCCTAAACCCTAAACCCTAAACCCTCTGACGACTGTCTCTTTGTTCCGCTGCTGCCCCGTAAGTCTCTTCAGATAGCTGAGGAGAGACACAGGGCGCCAAGAAGGAGGACCACAGCAGCAAACTAAATAGCAGCAGCAGCAGCAGCGGCAGCGGCAATAACAACAACAGCAGCGTCATCAGCAGCAGGAGCAGCAATAATAGCTACGGCAGCAGCAATAGAAGCAGAAGCAGCAGCAGCAGCCGCAGCAGAAAGAGCAGCCGCAACAGCAGCAGCAGCAGAAAAGTAAACAGCAGCAGCAACAACAGCAGCAGCAGCAGCAGGAGTAACTGTAGCTTTCTCAGTATAACTTAGCAGCACTGTACATCTCTTATTCTTTATTCTTCTTCTTACCCCTTAGGGGGCCCCCTATGACTTGTTTTGGGGGCCCCCGGGGCCCCCCTAACCAGTGAGGATGGGTGCTGCTTCCAGCGCCTCTGCTGCAGCAACAACTGCTGCTGCGGTGCAGCTTCCTTGCTGCTCTCTCTGCAACTCGCAGCAGCAGCCTCCAGCAGGGGGCCCCAGGAGGCAGAAAGAAGAGAGCCGCTGCTCTGGCTGGAGCAGAGGGGCCCCTATGAAAGCATTTGCTAAAGAGTTGCTGCTTGCTGTTGTCGATAGAAACCCTCAGCTGCTGCTGAAGCTGCTACAGCAGAAGCCAAGACCGCAGCAGCAAGTGAGGCAGGATCCTCCACGTTGCTGCTGTGCACGCAGATTGCACGGAGATTGCTGCTGTTGCTGTTGCTGCTCCTTCTGCTGCTGCTGCTGTTGCTGCTGCTGCTGCTGCTGTTGCTGTTGCTACTGCTGAAGGCAGCAGACGGTTTTGCATTTGTCCTGAGGACTCAGGCTTCGTGTTGGCGTAATCGTCTGCTGCTGTTGCTGCTGCTCCTGCTCCTGCTGCTGCTGCTGCTGCTGCTGCTGCTGCTGCATGCACTAGAATATGTGTATTTGCTGTTTGCGCATGCAGGGGGAGCCTTTAGCTTTCTCAGGAGATGCAGCCTGTCTTCACGTGGTGTTTGCTGCGCTGCAGCAGCGACAGCAGCAGCAGCAAGACATGGCGTTGCTGCAGATCCTCTTCTCTCACGGTTGCAGTGTAGATGATGGGTGGCCTTCTGCTGCGTACTTTAAGCTGCAGCGCAGCAACAGCAAAAGTAGCAGCAGCAGCAGCAGCAGCCCCGAGGCTGCAGCAGCAACCGAACGAGACCTTCAGGGGACCTCAGCGGGTTTTACGCACTTGTGCGTTCAGAGATCATCAGCAGCAACAGCAGCAGCAGCAACAGCAGCAACATGTGATGCTTCTGCAAGCAACAACTCGTGGGGAGGGTTTTCGATGCAGCAGTGGGGGGCCCCCCTACCAGCTGTGCTGCAGCGCCCTAAGGGGCCCAGCAGCAGCTGGGGCCCCCTATCTGAGGGATGGCTGTTTAGAAGCGAAGGCGCAGCAGCAGCAGCAGCAAAGGGAGGAGACACGGAGCAGCAGCAGCAGCTGCTGCGCAGACTGAAAGCTTCACCGCTGCTGCTGGTGGGGGAGGTAGGACTCCTCTACAGCAGCAACATTGCAGTGCATCATCTCATAGCTGAGCTGTCTCTGCAGCCAGGTAACTAACCCTAAACCCTAAACCTTAAACCCTAAACCCTAAACCCTAAACACTAAACCCTAAACCCTTGTCCACCGCAGGGGTCTGGGCGGGGAGTAGAAGAGGAAGGGTTAATTAGGGTTTAGGGCTTTCATTTGAGGGTTTTGCTGCAGGTAAACTCCTCGTTGCTGCTGCTGCTGCAAGCTCACCTGCAGTGCTGCAGCGGCTGCTGCAGCGCGGAGCAAATCCAAATTTTATGCGGGTGCGTCACAGCAACAACAGCAGCAACAGCAGCAGCAGCAGCAGCAACAGCGGCAGCAGCAACAACAGCAGCAAACAGACAGACAGACAAACCTAGCAGCAACTTGAGCAGCAGGGACACTTCGATCTTGCTTCCTTTGCTGCTGCTCCTCGTTGCTTCTTGTTGATGCTCAGTTTGCTGCTGCTGCTGCCGTGGGTTTTGTTTTGTTTGCTGCAGCACGGCCTCTCTGCCCTCAGTGTTGCTGCTGCTGCATGCGGTGCAGCAGCAGAAGAGAAGGTGCGGCTGCTCTTAGCTTTTGGGGGGGCCCCCGAGGCCCCTATCCCCCTGTCTGCTAAGGCGAGATGTGCTGCTGCTGGAGCAGCAGTAGCAGCAGCAGCAGCAAAACGGCTTGCTGCCTACGCTCTTAACAGCTGCATTAAATACCACCAGAGGAAGGCAGCAGCAGTGGGGACAGAGACTTTTGGAGATGCAGCAGCAAAAGCAGCAGCAGCAGCAGCAGCAGCAAGCAAGCTACCTTCACTAAGCGATCTCGAAGCTGCTGCAGCAGCACTCACCCACCCAGTGGTAGTTTTTGCTGCAGAGGAGACGCCTGCGCTGCTGCATGCAGCAAGCAACAGAAACTCTTCTCTGGTTCGTTCTTTGATGCACCTGTCTGTACACCTGAATGCTGCGGAGGGGGGCTGCTGCAACAGCAGCAGCTGGAGCAGCAGCAGCGGAAGCAGCAGTAACAGCTGCTGCTGTTGCTGATACACTTGTTTGTGCTGCTGCTGCTGCTGCTGCTGCTGTTGCTGCCTTTCCCTTAACAGCCCTTCCGACCAACAGCAGCAGCAGCAGCAGCAGCACTGAACTGAAAGTGCTTCTCGTGCTGCGACATTGTCTGTTTTTGCTGCCCCAAGGCCCGTACCTCCATGGATTGTGGTTTTGCTGTTGCTGCTGCGTTGTGCTGCTGCTGCTGCTGCTGCAGATGCAGCTGCTGCTAGAGAACGGGGCCTCCCCTGAAGTGTTTATTGTCTCTTCTCGCCTGCCTTCTCCTCTTTTTTACTCTGTCTTTTGGGGTCTTCTTCCTGTTGTGCGGCTGCTGCTCTCTTATGGGGCTAACCCTTTTATTGCAAAGGAGGTAAACTGCTGCTGCTGCTGCTGCTGCTGCTGCTGCTTCTGCTGCTGCTGCTGTTGGTGCCGATGTTGCTACTGTTGATAATGCTGGTGCTGCTGCTGCTGCTGACGCGATTGCTGCTGCTGCTGCAGATGATGCTGCTGCTGCTGAGGGCGATGCTGCTGCTCCGGTTGCTGCTGCTGCTGCGGCTGCTGCAGTGATCTTGGTTTGTTTTTGTTTTTTCTTTGTCTAGGCTGTCTTTCTGCTGCGGTTTATTATTGTGGATGTCTCTCTTTGTCTACTTCTTCTCTGTCTCTGTCTCTGTCTCTGTCTTTGCTTCTTTTTGTCTGTTTTGTCTCTCTTTGTCTCCCTCTTATATCTTTTTGTATGCATATCATGTATATATATATACGTATATATAAATATATCTATTTATATAATGCATAAAGGCGTATATCTATGCATATATATATATAAATTATATGCATATATGTATATAAATGCGTATCTATACATACATTTATATAGCTAAATGCATATATATATATATGCGCATATAAATAAATAAACAAACAAATAAATATAAATATATATATATATATTTATATATATTTATTTAAATAGATTTATATATATTTATTGATTTAGGACGGAGAGGGTTTGGAGGTAACCGCGCGTCGGGCTTTGGAGTTTTCGCTGCTGCTGAAGCCGCAGCACATTCAAAGACTTAACCTGCCAAAGGCACCACCTGCTGTCTGCAGACAAGTGCTTTCTCTAGTCGGTATGCTCCTTCTGCTGCTCCTGATGCTCCTGATGCTGCTGCTGATGTTGCTGCTGCTGATGCTGCTGCTGATGCTGCTGGTGGTGGTGGTGGTGCTGCTGTTGCTGCTGCTGCTGGTGATGCTGGTGATGCTGCTGGTGGTGGTGATGTTGCTGCTGCTGCTGTTGCTGTTGCTGCTGCTGCTGATGATGATGCTGCTGCTGCTGCTGATGATGATGATGGTGGTGGTGCTGCTGCATCATTTGCTGCTGCTGCTGCTGCATGCTTTGCTTCTGCTGCATCTTCTCTTGCGTGTGTATGTCTGAAGAGGCTGCTCAGCGGCACTGGGCGTCTGTAGCTTTAAACTCCATCAAAAACTGCAGCAGCCCCTCAGCAGCAGCAGCAAATGCAGCAGCAAATGCAGCAGCAAACGGACCTAGTGCTGCTGCTGTCGCCCCAAAGGCCCCCGTGCTGCTGCGAGCAACATGGGAGTCTGCTGTATTAAAGGGGCCCCCCACACCTCTGGCTATGGAATCTACAATAACTAAAAGCACAAGCAGCAGCAGGAGCGGCAGCAGGAGTAGCAGCAGGAGCAGCAGCAGGAGCAGCGGCGGGAGCAGCAGCAGCAGAAGCAGCATCAGCAGCAGCAGCAGCAGCAGCAACAGCGAGAGGGAGAGCATATTGAGTGAGGAGAGGCAGCTGCTGTGTATAACAAAGAAAGAGCTGGCGAGCGTCTCTGCTGCATCTGCGGTGTATGCACCTCTGACCCCAGTGGTAGGGGGCCCCCCTTCTTCGAGTGAAGGAGAAGCAAATGCTGAGGGCCGATATAATAAATGCTTGTCGCCTCTACCTTCTGTCTCTTGTCTCTTTTCTGTAGAAGCGCAACCATTCAGAGGGAAGCAGCTTCATCAGGCTTCAACAGAGACGCAGCAGCAGCAAACAAAACTCATAGAGGGGGCCCCCAAACCCGATGAGGGGCCCCCAGTGTGGGGTAGAGCAGCAAGCAGCTGGTCGTGGGCAGATAGCCCTTCGCTTGAAGCCTCATCTCCTGCTGCTGCTGCTGCTGTTGTTGCTGCTGCTGCTGCTGCTGAGGACTCCGCTGCTACAGCTGCTCATGGACATGCCGCTGTTGCAACTGTTGGGCCTCCTGAAACAGCAGTTGCTGGTGCTGCAGCAGCTGCAGCAACTGCTGTTGCTGCTGCTGCAACGGGTGTGAATGCTGCTGCTGCTCCTGCTAACGCGCAGCTGTCTCTTAGGGCAGATGGGCCCCCGAAGACCCTCATGGGGGCCCCAGAAGAGCGCCTCTCAGGGGCCTCTCAGCAGCAGCAACAGCAACAACAGCAACAGCAGCAACAACAACAGCAACAGCAACAGCAGCAGAAGAAGCAACTCTCTAAACGCTTGTTGCAGAAGGCTGCAGCACGGGGGCCCCCGCAGCAGGTTTCTGGGGCCCCCCCCCTTTCTCTCTCTGGGAGACAATCGGAGTTAGTCTTGCGGGTAAACAACATGGCAGCCTTAGGGGGCCCCCAAGGGGGGCCCCCCTCCGAGGGCCCTAATAATCAATTATTATTAGAAGGGATTCAGCAGGGGCCCCTAACAGGGGGCCCTAGGAGACCATTCTTATCTGGGGGCCCTAAAGGGGGTCTCCCTGGCCCCAAAGGGGGGCCCATCTCAGGGGACCCCAAAGGGGGGCCCACCACAGGGGGCCCTAAAGGGGGGACCCTCACAGGGACCCCCAAAGGGGGGCCCACCACAGGGGGCCCCAAAGGAGGGCCCATCTCAGGGGGCCCCAAAGGAGGGCCCTACTTGGGGGGCCCCAAACGTGGGCCCCTTTCAGGGGGCCCCAAGGGGGGGGCCCCCTTAGAGGTCCCCAAACGTGGGCTCCTTTCAGGGGGCCCCAAGGGGGGGGCCCCCCCAGAGGGCCCCAATGGAGGGGCCCTCTCAGAGGGCCCTAAAAGGCCTCTGTCTGGGGGGGCCCCTAGATGGAGGACTCTGCGCCGAGACTTTTCAATTGCTCAGCTGTTAAACCGAAAAAGGGGGGAAAATTCGCAGCAAAGAAGGTGAATAAAAAGATTTTGCTGCTGCTGCAGCTGCAGCAGCAGCAGCTACTGCAGCAACAGCAGCAGCAGCTGATGATGATGATGCTGTTGCTGTCCACTCAAGGGGCACCACGGCGGGGGCCCCCTTGTCTTAGATAAAGATATAGGGGCCCCCAAAGAGGGGGCCCCTCGTTTTAGTTGTTCGGGTTGAGATACATCACAAGATAGAAGAAGGAGACTAGGCCCCCTCCTTGCAGCAGTTGTGCATGCATGTATTTCAGGTGTATATGCAGCTAGTGAGTGGTCCATTGGTCTCTTTAGATGCTGGGGGCCCCCCCTCCGATTTTTGTTTTGTTTTATCTTTTATATTATGTGGTTTTGTTAGGGTTTGTGTCTCTTCTGTTTCTTTTTCTCTTCTTCTCTATAAAAGATTTGTTTGCTTGCTTCTTCATGTGCCTCTGCTGGCCGTTGTTTGTTGTTAGCAGCAACTGCAGCAGCTGCTGCAGCAGCTGCTGCAGCTGCTGCAGCTTCAGAACGAGCGGCTGCTTTTGCTGCTGCGCTGCAGCAAAACAGCTACTCAGGCCTCATAGGTGGAGCTTTGCATGCATTATTTTGGGTTTTGTTTGTTTTCAAAGGGCAAACAAAAGTAGGAGACAGATAAACTAGCTGTCTCGTTTACGTCTCTTGCGATAACCATTTGGGGTGTATGGGGACCTGCAATGCTCGGGTCCTCCAAACCCTAAACCCTAAACCCTAAACCCTTTTGAATCCATCTGCTACTCGCTGCGCCCATATTCACCAGCTAGCAGCTGTTAGCTGAGGAGCTGTTCTTAGCAGGAGCAACAGCAACAACAGCAGCAGCAGCAACAGCAGCAACAGCAGCAGCAGCGTCAGCAGTAGCAGCAGATGATAAGGATGTATAAACCTATCGAGCAAAATGCAGTAAAACACAAAACAAACACAAACAAACAACCCAAAAAAACAGACAGAAGGCAGCAGAACGAAGACAACAGAAGATGAGACAACATAAGACAGCAAAATAAAATAAAAATATATTTAAATAAATAAATAAACACAGCAAAGACACACAAAACATTAAAAGGAAGAAGAAGAGGGGGAGAGGGCGATGACTTATATGAAATCATCGTAACAAAGACGAATTTACCCTTTAAAATAAATATTTTAAATATATTTAATTTAAAAAATAAATATTTTAAATATATTTAATTTAAAAAATTAATATTTCTGTTTTTTTTCTGCTTTTTCAGCACAAGACATGACGGGCTCCGCTGTCGCAGCAGCAAAACCTCAGCAGAAATATTGTTCTTTTTGCCTTTTTATCTTTGTTTTTTTTTGTTATTTAGTTAAATATTATTTAAAATAATATTTATTTATTATTTTAATTCTTTTTTCTGCATTTTATACAGAGAAATGCCTCGCCTCACTCCCCCAGCTGCACGCAGCACACCGCGGGCGGTGACTCTAGAGGGGTTTCGGAGCTAGCGAAGGACTAAAAGCCTAAAAGAAGATTGAAATAAATAAAAATAAATATATTTAATTAAAATTAAAATATATTTAATTCATTTAAGTTCATTTAAAAGGAGTTTTAAGGCCTAAAGGAGAAGAAAACAATACAAATACCGCACACCAACTGCAGCAAGAGAGAGAGACGAGGGGGCGTTGCTGCTGCACTGGGTGAAGGGTCCTGCTGCTGCTGCTGCTGCTGCTGCAACAGCTCCAACAGCAGCAGCAACAAGAACAGCAGCAGGAGTTTGTTTTGGTCCTTTGAATCTTCTGCAAATGAAAACTTTTTGAGAGCTCCCAGACCTACTTGGGGGCCCTCCTCTCGCAGCAGCAGGCTCGCCTCAGCAGCAACTCTAACTCCTGCAGCAAGTGTCTATCTCCTGTACAAGCAGCAGCAGCAGCAGTAGTAGCAGCAACAGCAAGAACAGCAGCAGCAACAGGAGCAGCAGCAGCGGAAAGTGAAGGTCTGCACGATCCCGGGCAGCACATCAGCAGCAGCAGCAAGAGCAGCAGCAACAGTAGCAGCAGCAGCAGCGACACTGGCTCCCAGCCACCCCAGCAGCATCATCATCAACAGCAGCAGCAGCAGCAGCAGGATTTCTTTGTATCGGCCATGTCTTACAGGGCGTTAGATGATGACTCTGGAGGGCATGGTGTATGCTCCGTGTCTGCTGCTGAAGCAGCAGCAGCAGCAGCAGCAGCAGCAGCAGCAGGGGTTTCTTTGTCTCCTTTTCTTCCTCAAGATATAAAAGACGCTGCATACAATTTAAATTCTTCTGCTTTATCTACAAGGACGCAAAGCCCCTGGGCCCCTGCAGAGGGCTGTCTGCCTGATCCCTCTGCTGCTGCTGCTGCTGCTGCTGCTGGTGGTGGTGGTGGCGGTTCTGGTTCTGCTGCTGCTTCTGTTGCTGCTGAAGCATGCGGCGATGCCTCTGTTCGCACAGCAATAAGCAGCAGCAGCAACGAAGCAGATCTGCAGCAGCAAGGCGG